TGAATTTCTTTAATGTTTTTTATATTGTAAATCTTTTTGTAATATATAATTAAGTTTAAAATTATTGAAATTATTCCTATAACATGTTTTAGTATTTTCTTTGATTAACTTATTGATTTGCTATAAGTATTTTATTTTATAAAATAATATTGTATTCTATATTCTATTTGAAAAATCAAAATTCTATTTAAAATATATTTCATTTGCTTGTCTATAATTTTTTTTCTTTTCAGATTTAATACTATAGCTTTGATTTTTTGTTTAATTTAATATATTATATTTTTGATATATTTTTTACTTTCTATCTATATATTCAAAAATTTGATAAAGTTGTTTTGATTACTTTCAATCACTTCTTATTAATCTATTCCAATATAAATTAAGTTCAAATCTTTATTATAACTGTTGATTATAATTAATACTAATTTGTTACTATTGATTTGAAAATTATTGGTTGCATAAAACTATTTGATTCTTTTTAAAATATTTTTAATATTTTTTGCAGATCTGACAATTCATGTAGTATTATTTATATATAGTATGTTATTGCTACCTGACAAACTATAAGATACTATAGATCTTCTTTTTTGTTTAGATTAGTTTTTCATTCATAATTTATAGAGTATTTCAATTATATATTATTTTGGATTTCACATAGTAATAAATTATAGGAAATATGCTACAATAAAAAAGAAATTGTTTACTTTGATTTATACTATACATATAATAAAATTTAATTCATATATTTTCAAAAACAATATTATAATAAAATTATCAACTAACATATAATAAATACAGAGGGTGAACAAAAGTTTATGGACAACTTTAAAAATTAAAAATTAAATTAAATTAATAGAAAATTAAATAAATAAAAAATATATTTAAAATCTTTAAAAACTAAACTTTTAAATAAAAAAATTTTTCAAATTTCTTATTTAACAGGTATAATATGTAAAAAATTAAAATTAAAATTAAAATTTTTTAAATATCTAATTACACATTTTTTTATTATTAATTTATGTTCTATTGATTTATAGATATCTACTTAGCTAATTATATTTTTTTTAATATTTTATAGCCTCCCTTTAGCCATGATACAAGCCATAATATAACATGGCATACTCTTGATCAATTGTTTGCAATATGCCAAATCAATCTCGTTCCAACATTTTAAAACACAATCCTCGAGCTCTGGTCAAGACTGGCTGATATAGTATTCAAGAAAAAGTTATACCTAAAGCTTACCAAAGTCAAAGCATATAACAAAGACTTCAACAATAACAGGATAGACCAGCTGGCTAAAAAGGCGAAGGAGGAACCAGAAGTCTAGTGGAGTCCCCTATCCATAACAGTTTCCATTACTGTACTGGAGTGAAATAAGATCTCTATTGACATTTTAACCAGGGCATTTCTTAAGAATTATAATTAAAGAGAAATACTTTTACAATGGATATAACAAAATCGAATCCAGCAAAGATGGAAAGAAGAAATCCAAAATCCTAAAAAATTTGATTGAAAAGGCCTCTGGGACTTCAACAAAGACAAAGGATTCTTGAATACCTTTCTTAAAGCAGCAGGAAACAGAATATTTAAGACCAGACTAATTTACAATAAGCTTCCAACAATGGATGTTTTGATTAAGAGAAACTTCTTAAAAATGTCCAACAACCTGTGTATATTCTGTCAACAGCAAGAAGAATCTCTGGATCACTTACTTATATATGGAAAGATACAAGAACTTAAGAAGAATATATGGCAGCAGACACAAGACAAGCTCACAAAGGCATGAATCCCACAACACATCGACAAAAAAATGGAGAGAAAGCAATCAACAATAAATGTACTCTTTAGTAAATGAAAAGTAGAAAAATCTGATTCAGTTAAGGATTTAATCAATATAACTATTGGTCTTTAGGTAAGAGAAAATATAGAAGATTGGACCAGTACTCTCCAGTCACTAAAGATTTCCAAAGTCATATCCAGAAGAATTCTTAACAAACTTTTAAAGTTTTGATATAAAAAGATAAGACACCTGATTTGGAACCCAAGATACAAAAAGTTTCAAGAATACAAAAAAAGCTTCTGGAGAAAAGGTAAAGGAAAAAAAATTGCCATATCCAGGCAGAAACCAATGGGTATACAAAACTTTCCGAAAAAGAGATGAGTGTTATAGCAAGGTTCCTCAAGCTCAAAAATAGGGATAGCTCAATCTTCAACAATAGTCAATCCAAATCATATACCTGGACTTGTGAAGTTACTCTGGGACAAAATAAAAGAGGGAAAAAAATGGTTAGGAATATAAAGTAATTAAGATTTTGCCAAGGTAAACTGTAGTGATAAACTGCAGGCAATGAACTTAAGTTTCCTTAGGAATAGGAAACAAGAAAGAGCAACTTTATTTATCTTCAAGATCATATCTAAAGGTTAGCCACCTAAGATGGATATTCAAATATAAGTAGTTAGTTTATGCATAAGAGTCAAATATGTATGATTATGTTTTCTTTAAAAAAGATTAAATAAATACAATAAATACTTGTTTGATTACAGAAAAAAAAAAAAATATATATATATATATATATATATATATAATAATCTTTTACAAATTACAAATATCTTATTATAAACAACATAAAAAAGTATTTTTTTTCTGTTTTAACAGGATTCAAGTAAATGGGTTCTTGTGTTTCGAGATTTTTTAAAAATATACTTAGTATAATAAAATGCTGTAATTAAAAAGTTTTTTAATTTTATATACTGTATTAATATAAGTAAACAAAGATTTAGCTTAGTATATGTGATTGATCAGATCTTGATCGTTTGAAAATCTTGTGATGGTTAAAGAATCGGAAATCTCAACAAATGAAAGAAATTTCATATTATCAGGCTTAAAGGAAGGAATCCGCCTTGATAATCGGGATCCAGAAGAATTTAGACCCCTAAAGATTCTATTTGGCCCAGAACATGGACGTTGTGAAGTGCGACTCGGTGGCACAAAGTGAATAATCGCAATCTTTTTTTTTATTTCATTCCTTGAAATTTATATATTCATATTTTTAATATCAGGGTATTGGCTAAAGTGTCGTGTGAAGTCACTCGGCCTTACATAGATCGTTCCTCGGAAGGAATTCTAATATTAAATACAGAGTTGTCTCCTATGGCTTTTCCAGGGCTTGACTCGGGAAGGTAGGAAATAAGTAATTTTATTATTTTCAAATAAAAAGTTTACTCTATCTAATGTAAAATTCTTTTCAAGGCCTTCTGATGAAGAGATCCTTGTAAGTCGAATACTTGAAAAGGCACTAAAAAGAAACCATGCCATAGATTTAGAGGGATTGTGTATTATTCGTGAAAAAAAAGTAAGCTTGTATTATCGGGAATTTCGTTCATACAAGCGAACTGATCGATTAATCTTTTAGGTATCTTATTCCTTCAGGTATGGACAATTCGTGTCGATGTACACTTCCTTGATAATGACGGCAATATAATTGATGCTGCATGCATCGCAGCTATTTCAGCTCTCTCCCATTTTCGAAGACCTGATGTTACAGTAACCGGTGATGATAATATCACTATAGTATCTTTCGTCTCTACATTATAGCTATTGTTTATTAACACAATTTTACGTATCTGACGAAATAATTTATTGTAATTTTGTTCGTAGCATTCGTTTGAACAGCGAAATCCGATCCCGCTGACTATTCACCATACACCTATTTGTGTGACATTCGCATTTTTTGAAAACGGGTACTGCATATTTATTTAGAGATTCTTTTCTAGACTATTCAATTAAAAAATTCACTATATTATTTAGAGATTTGTGGGTCGTAGATCCCTGTTTGCAAGAAGAGCAAATACGTCAAGGCGATATGACAATAACAATAAATGAAAATAATGAAATTTGTGTTTTGTCAAAGGCTGGCGGTGTACCCTTATCCATGGATCAAATAGTACAATGTTCAAAAATCGCGACAAGCAAAGTAGAATTAATAACGGAGCAAATCCGCAAGGCACTGGCCGCTAATTGATAACGCGTAATTCCTCATAAATTCTAATCTTAATATATTACCTATATAGCCCTTTTGAATTGATTTGCCTGTTGTTATATTACTTATCAGAGGAGATCGTCCCCAATTAAGAGTTCGATTCATCGAGGTAAGTATTATTACGAGTTATAATTAACTTGTGATTACGTATGAATAATATCAAGAAAAAAGAATACAATAATAGATATCTTTGCAATACTTATTGTAAGACATTATCGCGTCAAGACAAGAATAAACTAAATCTTGAAAAATTTAATTTTCGTGATAATATTTATATTACATATAAAGTTTTATTATGAACTTTTTAAAACGTAACGATATAATTTATTTAATACAATAGAATTTTTGGCATGTATAAAATGTTTCCAATAACAAACTAGTATAAATTTTTTTTAGTATTTAAAAAAATATCTGTATATCTGTTTTGTTAAATTTTTTATATAAAGAAAAACAAAAAAAAACATGTATATAATAAAAATATTTTAATTAAATGGGAGATTTACAGTACCAGCACAAAAAACTGACAATTAACTTTTATTTATGCATAGTTTGTAATACGAATTACAAAGTATCAATATTTAATAAATTATTGTTTTTTTGTAATATAAGCCTAATATATTCTTTTTATTTTTAATGTTAAGATAAGATATGTCTCTTAATCTTTATTAATAAGATAATTATTATTACACAATTAGTTTTTAAGATATGAGATATATAAATATAATTATGTAAGATATATATATATTAGTCTACTATCTATTGTAGTAAATATATTTCTAAAAAATTTTTTGAGCAAAGAAAAAGAAAGAAATTATTTATTTTGAATAATAAAAAAAGAACATCATGGGCAAAATTATTATTTTATAAAAAAATATGAGTATAAAGTTTAAATGATAAAAAGGTTTTTTGACTTAAAATTATTATATATGTTAATTCAAAGTTAAGATTAATCACTTTCAAAAATCTTATATAATTGAATAAGTTTAAAAAAATATATATTAAAGTAATAAAATACATAAGATTTTTTTTTATTTTTATTTTGTAGTTGAATAACATTAAATACAAATCTTTTATTAATATATAATTATATTATATCAAATATCTTTTATAATATATGACTATAATTAAATACTAGTCTATTAATTTTATATATCTAATATTTAAAAATCTGCCATTTGATAACTTTTCTTTATAATATTAGAAGGCTATAGAGATAAAAATCCTATTACTAGGTTTAAACTATTTAATCTATAAAGTTTAATTTTTTCTTATATAATACAGGATACTTATAACCTATAAACTTTTAATTATATAATCAAATTTGAAAAATTAAATTACATAATATAATATTTATATATTAATATATAATTGTTATTAATAAAAACAATTTTATTATTAATTAAATAAAAAAAATAATTTTTGATCAAATCTATCTATCTTATATTTTTTTTTTTTTTTTTGGGGGGTTTCCCCAGTAGGTAAACATCATTTCTTTATTTTGATTTGTATATAATAAAGTATACA